TTTTTTTTCTTAAAACTTCCATAACTTTTTCAAAAATCAACAAATCAACATAATTTTTTTATAAACTAAAACCTTAGATAATTTTCTTTCATTTGATATAATTTTTTTGAAAATTTAACACTTAGCCTGCTCATTGGGGGGGATTTAAAATTGCAACTTTTTTGCAAAAACTAACTTTTTCAACTTTAAACATAAATCAAATTAAACCTTATTTTATGTACTACTAAATGGAAAAAAAAAATTTGTCCCGACGACCTATCTTCTATGCGCAAAAGACTACCGTATTCAAAAATATGCTATTTTTTTATTAAAATTCTGGGTTTTGTATTTTATTTTATTTTAAAATATCTTATTAGGGGAATAAACTGACTTTCATGAATATTATATAATATCATTGACATAGAATAAAGTTCATAAGACATATGAAATTATACTTATTAAAATTTTTTTACTTTTTTATAGTCGAAAAAGTAATTTTTAAATTTGAGTTAGCTTAAATAGCCAATTTTATCATGCAACAAAAAGCATGAATAGTTGCCGAATGGGTAACATCTTGATCTTTCACACCTAGGGTAAGATGTTCAAATCCCCGTCTGTGACTTCTAAAATTTTGCATTTTTTTTTTGAGTTAAAATAGAATTTTCAAATCATTTGATATTTATCTCATTTAGATTCAATAATTTCAATAAATATAAAGGATCTTATCACTATAGTCTCCCCTCGTGAGAAGNTATCTTATCACTATAGTCTCCCCTCGTGAGAAGAAATTGATATTCATGTTAATATTATTTTACTATGTGGTTCTTTTTGTGGCTACGATTTATTTTGCCAACCCTCACTAGACCTACTTTTTTCAACGATACGTCAAATGATTCATTTAAGTTTATGATATTTAAGTTAATGATTAGTTTAAGTTATTACNTTTTCAACGATACGTCAAATGATTCATTTAAGTTTTTACTTACAACTGGGTTTTTTTTATTAACATAAACTTTGTTTTTATTTTAGAATGATATAAAATTCTTAAAATATATAATTATGAAACTCTATATTTAATTTTACTACAATCCATTATTATTTTAAATGTCTTAATATTTTTAGTCCTTGTGGACGTCATCCACTCAAATTTATTTTAATTTAATCTGATTGAGGCTAATAGCAAATTATTAACTCTGATTTTAAAACCTTTGAAACAGTTATTACATTATCGAAGGAATATTTTTTTCAATAAAGTATATTGAGAGATTGAGAGTCTCAATTAATTTTCAGTGTCCATAAATATTGCATTTGTAATTTATATAATATTATAACGGGTCCAATAAGACCTAATGGATCATAAATAGAAGCTATTTGTGATAACATTTTGCGTTTAGTAACATATTGAACATTCTGATTAATATTACTTACATTGTATTGATAAATGTCATCCACGGGATTTCATAATAATCCTAGTATTTTGTTTATATTATTTTCTAAATCTAAAGTTAATATATCAATTTGATAATTACATGCTATGTCTTTAACAAGATCAGGATCATTGAAAATCCACTTACGTAAGTCAAAACCACATCTAAGCGTTATATATATTAATTGATTACGTAATAGTAGTGCATCTTCTTTTGTAGACGCACCACCTTAAAAAGTCATTTACGTAAAAATCTTTTTTAATTGTTCCATAAGCTAAAGGATAATCAGCAGCCTCGTCGTCGATTGATGAAGACAGCCAGTTGATAAATATGAAATCTGTACATTTTGGCTATATCTGAAGATAGGATGTATGCAGTGGTCAAAAAATATACCAAAATGCACACTAGTTTTTGCTGAATCTCTTTTTTACAAAAAATTGACTTTTTCAACTTATTTTTTAAAGGGTTTCGAAAATATTGACACTTTTATATTTATCTTAAACTAAATAATATGTAATATGAAATTAAAACTTGGAATATTACATTATATTCATGGTAAAAATGGCTACAATATTCAATATTATGTAATTTTTGTGTTAAAATTCTCGATTTTATATGTTTAACTGTATATTTCTAAAATGTTTTAAAAAATGTATTAATCAATAAAATTTTTTTTTTTAATAATTTATATACACACCTTCATACGATATCTTGTTTTTTTGTGATATTATCAAAAATTAGGAGTGATAGAAAAAAACTAAAAGCAGATTTGAAATAAGCGCGAAAAATTGATGAAGCAATGTATATTTTTGATTCTGATAAAAAATCCTTGTAGATCTTTATTCATAATTTACAAAAAATTATCTTCGGAAAAGTTTTGTAATAAACCTTTTAATTTTTATACAAGTTTGCTATAAAAGTATTAACTACTTAATAATTTTTTATAAATTCTCCGAAAAAATTACAATACTAAATTATAAAATATCAATCTCATGCTATATTTAAATACTATAATAATTATTTATTCTTATATTATACTTTTAAATAAAAAAACTACAAATCGGAAATAAAAAAGGAAATAGGAATTCATTTTGATTTTGATATAATCCACCAATTTCTTAAAATTAAACATTATCTACAGATTTGCATCGAAGCGTTTCTTATGATAATGATTTTAGTCACTGTCAGATATCATTTTTTTCTTGTCCCAACTATGCGACGTCCACACTGTGCCATGACACCACTGTGCTACGGTTTATTTTTTAATAAAATTAATTTGTTTTATGTCGATATCAACATTATATTAATATATCACATTAATACTAAATATTTTTTTCAGTTCAAGGTTACCTAAAGCTCTTGTTACTGATTGCAGTAGATGTTTTGATTTCATCATTTTTCATAGCATTACGTAATCATACATTAAATGGACATCCTCCTCTGGGAATCATGAGATTTATAACGACACCCATAGTCAGTAAGATATTTATCCTTCCAAAGTTAGAGACATCATTAAATCAGAGTTATACCGAATTTGTAAATAAAGTGGATGGAGAATCTACAGACAAACCAGTCACCTTATGGGATATAATTACTATTTTAATTGAAAGAATACTGTTTTTATTTTATATAATAATGACAATATTAAATTTGACAATCGTTTATGCTTCGTCAAAAAATAAACAATAAGTACACAACGATGTTATGATAAACAATTATCAAAGTAATATATTTCATTATTTGTATCAGAATTATTTTCTTATCAAAAATAACAAAAGTATGTAAGTCGATATATTTTTTTACAGTTGTAAAAATTATACAAATAACAATATAAGTATGTATGTGAATAATAAAAATATTTGTCAGATCAACCCATAATCATTAACATTACTTTATTTTTACAGAGTATTTGGTTTATCAATGATATCTAAATTTTTGTTAAATTAAAAATTATTTAGAAAATTTTTCATGATTATTCTTTGATCGAGTACTATTTATTTTTGTAGAGTATAAATATTTTTAAATTTAAAGACGGAATACAGAGCGATTAATTTATCATAAACCACTCAATAAATCAAAATAAAATTATACATTTTTTAATTGGCTTCTTTAAGTGCAATATTCTCTTAATTTAACGATCATAAAGTATTTTTTTTTAGTATCTTACAGTACCTAATAAAAACTCAAAATAGTGAGCAAAAAATAATCGCTCTCTAACAAATATAAACAGATTCGCAAATTATGTTAAACTATCGCGAATATAAGAAGTACCGCGTCCATTTAGACACAGTACTTCTTATATTCGAACACATAATTACCGAAACAGTTGACGTAGAGACGTAAAAAGGGAACTGGTGACGTAAACACAACTATCATTTAAAAATACCTAAACATGCGATCAGGTTATTATAGAAGGAATATTTATTCACTATTTAATATTACTTTTATTTTTCGATTAATTAGGTGGTTTATACTAAGAGAATCATATTTAACTATCTTAAACGTCAAAAAGTGTTGTAATTAAGAAAATTACTGATCCACAATAACTTGTAAGTCAATTATTTAGGAGTTTTGAATATTTTTATACATTGACGAGTGGAGTAGAGTGGCTAGTGACGATATTTTAGTAAATTATTCAATAGGAACTGTTAATGCTATTCTATTAAAATATAGTAACTATTGATGTGTCAATATTTATACTGATAACTTGTCGGTCTTGTAGCTTTATTTTTTTCCTCGTCTTAATCCCAACTACTTGAGGTATTCCTTATCTTAAACTTCAACTTGACACGATCTCCCATATCATCAACGCTCATATCAGCAGTTCTCAAATAACATTCACTTATATCCCTCCATCTCTTTTTTGGTCTTCTCTACCTCTTCTTCCTTTAACATTCATTTCTATAACTGTTCTTACAGCTTCCGATTAATCCCTTCTCAAAACTTGATCAAACCATATAAGTCTACACTTGTGGCTAATTATTTAAAATTAAAGTTATATTTATAATATTGAACTCAAAAAACCACAAAAAAATCGAGGATAAGTATTTCGGAAACAATTCTACCATTATCATTAAAATAAAATAGTAGGAATAGTTAAAACATAATAGTAACACTTTATTGTTTAGTAACTTAAGCTTTTTTAACTTCATTTTTGCTTTTTCTTGCTTGCCCTTCGTTATACACGTAACAGTGGCCTGTATTTTCTTTTAAACCATGAATTTCAAAGGTATTTACCCACAGTTGACGATAATAAAATACCTCTTGAACAGGTATATTAGGTAAAGGAAGGTTTTGCATAACATCGAAACATATTGCTACCACACTAGGATTTTCCTTACATAGATTCTCAACTTCTTTAAGTTTATTATACAACTTATTGGCACGTTTTTTGTGGATTAAATACTGGGCTGCTGCTCCTCTCTTTGCATTATCATTTAAGTTTTTATCACGGATTCTTGATCCCAAGTTCTCACACTCTGAACATACGTCCACTTAAGGTCGACGAAAGCTGAAGTTATAATTTTCTTGAAAAAACTTTAGGTAGTACTCATATTTTATTTTATTTTCAAGATCTGGGTGCTTTTTAATATACAATCTGTGCATTTCCTTAGTATTTAAGGTACAAGGCAAATACCGTAAAGGTTTAGAAGAATAATGAGACGTTTCCAACGGAAATGATACAATGTGTTCCTTAATCTTTACAATGAATTCGTCTTTTATCTTGGACGGTCGATTGTTATGCTTTCCACGTCCATCTTAAGGCGATATACCAGATAACAAAATACTTGTTAATCTTTGCACTTGAATATGTGATATAGCATGCAAGCTCATAAAAGCCTGTTTGCAAACAGATGTGCGTAATTCGTTCTTTTTGACAAAGTACGCAAAATTACTCGCCCTTGGTTTTGCTTTTGCTCCACCAATCTCAGACCTTTGGCGGCATCTAATCACAGATTTTGTTTCGATCAACCCGAGTAAAAAAGTATCAAATTCATTTTTCGGTTTTCCATCATATAAATTATGAATTATTTTTTTTTTTCGTCATTGGAAAACGTATTCATACATTTGCGTCTGCAAACACAATTAGGACCAGTCATTTTAGAAGTAATTAGATTACCTGATACTGAAGTATAAGAAGCTCCATTTTGACGAGCAATCTTAATTTTTTGACGTTTCCATGTTTGAGGATAAACTTAGCGTTTCTTTCCTATCTTTGGTGTTTCATTTTCTTCATCTGACGTAGTGTCAGAGTAAGTCATTTTTATTTCACAAAAATGTTTAAACAAAAAAACAAAACAAAATATGTACTCATAAAAAAATATTATTAATATTGCAAAAAATTAATAATGTAAGCACACATTCACACCACAACAATAACGATAACCATAGAGATAAATAAATGATTATAGAAACACTGTTTCACAATTTTGGACTAGTACTGTTCTTCCACTCACCGATTCAATTGTTTTTGAGCTTATATATTTTAAATTTATAAAAAAAAGACTTAAAAACAATACATTTGTATAATAAATGATGAGTTGAATATTTTTAATATTTTTTAGTTTTTTTAATTAATAATATTTTTAATAATATTTTTAATATAGTTTTAATTTTACTTAACAATACATTTATTTGATATTTATAAAAATTAATGATAACCTATTACCTATCTTCATGAAATGAATTATTAAAATTTTTAATTTAATTTATATGATAACATAATGTAAAGGATCAATGTAATATTTAATATAATTTTCATAAAAAATACAGTTATTTATTTTTTATTATATTTTCTAAGACTACAAATTTTTCATCCACATTAAAAAGTCTAGCTCCCATTACAATACAGTTATGGAACAATGATATTAAGTTGTCGTTGCTAGGTTTTTCCTTTGAAAGTACATCCCATTTCCAAAAATTATCATTTATAAAAATAGCATAGTTTCTTTTTAAATTTGTAAGTGTTCTGCATTCTAATAATTGTGCTCTGTAGGGGTCTATATTATTCTTTAGTATTAGTAACCCATAGTAACTTTTATATTCTTCATTTGGAGTAATCTTCTCTAGAACATTAGTAACACAGTCAAGAGGTAATGTAGAAATGAAGTATTGCTTAAATATACCATACATACGTTTAAATATCTTTTTAAAGTTATATATGTTTAAATTTACTTTTTGATGTTCTAATTTTATTTCGAAAGAATTTAAAACTATTGTAATATTAGAGAAATTATCGAATCTATCAACAGCTTCTACTAAAAACAAACAAAATCTATCGACTAAAGTTATACCAACACTTTCCATAGTATTTAGGTAATAGGTATACTTCTGAATAATTTCTAAATCGCTATCTCGACGAACTAGTTCTCCTAACTTTATTTTAGTGGTATCATTTTTTGGAACAGGAACTAGAATTTGATTTTGTTGCGTCCACGTCCACGGCTTTTCACATTGTCTCGGGTCGAAATATTGTAATTTCTTAACATCAGGATCATCCAACAGTGTATTTTCATCATAAGGTAGAGGACAAAGAGACGCATCACAACCAGTGTAGTATTTATTTTCTTGTAAAGTTAGCTTAATGAATCCTGGATATTCTCTTATGAGTTGATTTAGATCGTCATTGGTTACAAAAGTTTGATTTTCAATATTTTTATATAGTTCATTAGTCTCTTGAACAATAATTGCATTTGAAATTATTATATTCAACAAAATAATGTGAATATTTCTATAATAATTCATTTTACTTGTATCAATCGAATTAAAATAATCATCATTCGTTATGACTTTTTGCACAAAAATTGGGTAAATTTATTTAAAATATTAATAATAGTATTGAATAACCAAGAATAAAATTTCTTTTTTATAAAACTCAAGGTTTTTTTCTATAAATATAAAACTACAATGATTTCATAATTTACAAGTGTTCTTTTGTATAGTGAACAAATAAATTTAAAAAATTTTTTTTTAATTATTGTAGTTGAATTATTAATAACATAATTACTCTCTCATTATTGAATTATTAACTAGAATAAATAGTTATATTAAATAAAATTATTTAATTTGAAAAATGTATTATAATACCTATATATATATATATATGTGTGTATTAAAAGTAGATATTTTTTAAGACTTTAAAGCTCTAGGATATATTTATTCTAAATAAAAAAAATAATAATATTAAACTTACAGGTGTTCGATCGTTTGTTAAACATCAATTATAATCTCATTGAAATTAATGTGATATTTTTAAGTTTTAATTTCTTCAATTTTTTACACAAATACATGAATAAGTTAACGTGTAAAACTATATATTTAATATGTTTTTAATGTACAAATGACATACAATATGTATTTTAGATAATTATATTTCTTAAATTTAATAATATAAAAATTACAAATTTAAAAATATAACATTTTAAAAATAATTTAGGTATTGTGATGGTGTCACGTTTTCATAATCGTGAGAATTATTTTAATAAAATACAGACAGCAAATCCGCTGCCTGAGACTGATGAATTAACAAATAATATTTATTGCCGATTTGGCAATAGTTCTAATTATTATAAAAACCCAATAGACCTGACCATCGTCGTCAGTCGACTCCAGTGCCTTGTGTCATTCATCAGTCTCAGTACTCGGTTGTCGCTGTCCGGCTTACTGTTTAAAGTAAAGTCTTTGTTTATTCCTTTTCAAACCTATATACTCTTTTCCTCCACATTTCAGAGTACTTGTATCTTACACTTCGTCTGCACCTCGTACTCTGTTATTTTTCCTCACCTAGTACGCTTAGTATTTGTGTCTTGCACTTCATCTGCACCTTATACTCGGCTACCCCGTTCTATCTTTGAAGTACTTGTGTCTTGC